GAAGGGGTGGCCGCCCTGCAGGCGATGTGCCAGGCCGTCGAAGAGAGTGAGCCCGACGTGTTGGTGTACCTGTGCCATCGTTCGGAGAAGAACCCCGACGAGATCGTCTTCTTTGAGGTCTACAAGAACGCAGAAGCCCTGAAGACCCACGGCAGCACGCCGCACATGGGCGAACTGCGGAAGGCGTTTCTGCAATACTTCAAGCCACCGCTGGAAGTAACGCGACTGGACCGTATTGGTGGGTTCACCCGTTAAGGGCTTCACTTCGAAAGCGTGAACTCGGGTAGCTTCACAATCTCGCCGCCCTTCATGGCGCTTTCGTGCGCGCACAGCCCGACGCAGGTCCAGTTTGCCGATTGCACGGCGTTGGGGTAAGGGTTGCGGTCTTCGACCAGGGCCGAAACGAATTCGTGGACCAGATGTGGATGCGATCCGCCGTGCCCGGCACCCTGGGTGAAGGAAAGGTGTTGGTGCTCGTCGGAATCGTAAACGCCGCGGCCGGTGAAGGGGCGGATTTCTTTCGGCAAGCGATCGGCGAAGTCGGGCACCTTCACTCGCGAGGGAATCTCGGGCTCGGGCAACTTGGCCGTGTGGATCACCGGGTCTTCGCCTTCGATCAGCGGCCACTCGTAGGTCTTCTTCGTGCCGAACGCATCGAAGCTCTCGCGGTACTGTCGGGCGGTATCAAACAGCGAACGGTAGATTCGGGCCGTGATGTCGGAGTTGCGGAACTTGATATGGCACGACTCGACCGCGAACGGCGAGTTGTACTTAGGTATCAGTTCTTCGCGAATCGTGCCCGAGCCGAAGCACGAGACGTATTCGGCCTCGGCCCCTATTAGTGCCAGGCACGGGCCGACGCAGTGCGTGGCGTAGTGCATGGGAGGCAGCCCTGGCCAGTAGTCGGGCCACCCGTCCATGTCCTGATGATGTGTGGCCTGCAGGAACTGCAGCTTGCCGAGTTCGCCTTGCTCGTAGAGCTGCTTCACGAACAAGAACTCGCGGGCGTAAACAACAGTTTCGGCCATCATGTACTTCAGGCCGGTCTCTTCGACCAGCTCGACGATCTTGCGGCAGTCTTCAATCGACGTGGCCATCGGCACCGTACACATCACATGCTTGCCGGCTTTCAACGCGGCGATGGTCATGGGGGCGTGATCGGGAATCGGCGTGTTGATATGCACGAAATCGACTGAGCTATCGGCCAGCACGTCGTCGTAGCTGGCGTAACGATTGTCGATGCCGAACTGGTCGCCGACTTCGTTCAGCTTGGCTTCGTTTCGCTGGCAAATCGCATACATTTCGGCATTGGGATGCTGCTGGTAGATCGGGATGAACTCGGCTCCGAAACCAAGCCCGATGATTGCCACACGCACAGGTTGATCAGCCATGAAGAGAGCCCTTTACTGCGAGTCGAAAGCCAGGATCGACCCATGATCGTAACGTCGGAAATGACCGTCGTCGACTGTTCGGCCAGGGAAGAAACTGGAGTGCTCGGGAATACCTACTTCACCGCTTGCCAGATTTCGCTGGGGTTGGGAACGCTCGCTGGTGGGTCGAAGGTTTCGGGGTAGATGAGATGGGCGAGGATCTCCAGGCTGTCGACCATGCGGGGGCCCGAGCGGTTGAAGTAAGCGTTGCCGTCGACAGCCCACACGCGGCCTTGTTTCACGGCGGGGAGTGAACCCCAGCCTTCGCGGGATTGAAGCTGGGGGATTTCGCGGAGTGTTTGCGGCAGGCCGAACCCGCAGGGCATGATCGCCACCACGTCGGGGGCGAACTCGATCAGCTCTTCCCACGAGGTGTACGTGCTGTGTTGCCCGGGCTCGCGGGGGCTGAGGCCTCCGGCCGTGGCGATCAGCTCCGGCATCCAGTTGGCCGCCAGCATCAGCGGCTCGATCCATTCGATGCAGGCTACTCGACGTCGCTGATCGGCGAGAATCGCTCCCGCTTTAGTGGCGATGGCCTGCACGCGTTCCTTAAGCCCGGCAACATACTCCTGGGCCTTGTCTTCCACACCGGCGGCGGTGCCGACCTTGAGGATGTCGGTGAAGATATCGTCGAACGTGCGGGGGTCGAGATCGACGATTTGCGTGCCGGAGAGCTTTGGTTCGCTGCGGACGGTATCCACCACGTCGGCGTAGCGCACCGCGCACACGTCGCACTGCGACTGGGTGACGATGAGGTCGGGGGCCAGCTCGGTCAGCTTGGCCACATCGATTTCATACAGCGCGTCTCCGGCGGTGATCTTCTCGCGAACCTGGCGGTCGATCTCGCCGCTGGTGGCCGTGAGTTCGACGTGAGTGAACGTGACGCGGGGTTTGCTGTTGGCCTCGCTCGGGTAATCGCATTCATGGCTGACGGCCACAACCTGGGGACCCAACCCCAGGGCGTAGAGCATTTCGGTACTGCTGGCCAGCAGCGAAGCGATGCGTTGCGGGGGCATGGCGAACGTTCTTTTCTTAGCCAACCGGTTGGGCCGTGGAGGTGTGCAGCACGCGATCGGCCGAGTAGCACGAGTAGACGATCAGCATTTGGGCCGGGCCATAAGTCAACCATACCAAATCGCCGGCATGATCGAATGACCCACGGAACTGCTCGAAGGCCAGCAACAAGTCGCTCACTAAGAACAACGCCCCACCCAGGGCCAAGGGAATGAATCGGCGATCGAGCAGGGCTAGACCGCAACTCACTCCCGCGGTGCCGGCCAGCAGCAGCGAGTAGGGCAAGGCGGCCCAATGCAGCACGGTTGCTTCTTGCCCTTGCATGACGACGAACCACCAGGCGGCGGCCGCCACTAATTGCCAAACGACAACGGCGCCCCAAAACCGTGAATCTAGTTTCCACTTCGCCCGACTGGCCACTATGAAGCAGCCCGCGATGTAGGCGATGTGCCCTAGACCGAAAGAGACGATGCCGCCCATCAGGTCTTCGGGGAAGATGCCCGGCAGGAATCCGGCATTGAATAAGTCGCCGATGAAGCCGAGCGTCATCCCTATGGCGATCAGGCAGGCGAAGGTTCCGGTGGGTCCTTGTCGCAGGAAATACCACCACAATGCCCCGGCGACGACCAGTACGGCAGAAGAACCCATGCGACCGATCGTGGGAATGTGTTGTCGAACTCCCGGCTCTGCGGTGGCCAGCCCGTAGACGAAACCACCCAACAGCAACACAGCCCACGCTGCCCACAAGATGCGTAGCACGACCGGGAAAGCGTTTTGTGTTGGGCTAAGCGTTGCTTGCATGCCTGGCGAAGTTTCGGCCGAGGTTGAGTTCATTTTCGATTCGCCCTTGTGAATCGGGTATGGTGAGGAATCGCTGGGGTGTCTCGCGGTGGTATACACCCCGCGCGGTTCGAGGATACTCGGTGCCCGAGTGCCCGGCAAGCAAACCCCATGCCCCAGGTGGCTTGGTTGACCTGCCGCCGGGGGCCGCATTAATACCAAAGTCCCGTCGCACGGTCTGCCTGCATATTACCCACGGAAACAATCAAGGGAGAGTTGCCGCTATGAAAGCTCACATCAACGGTGCCTGGGTCGAAACGAAAGACAAGATCGAAGTCGTTAACCCGTTCGATCAATCGGTGATCGATACCGTGCCTCGCTGCGGGCCCGATGAGGTCGACCGTGCGTTAGCGGGCGCTGTCGAAGGGGCGAAGATCATGAAGAGCACCACCGGCTACGATCGCAGTCAGATGCTGCGACGGGTGGCCGTGCGGATGAACGAGATGGTCGATGAGCTGGCCCGCACGATCAGCATGGAAGAGGGCAAGATTCTGGCCGAAGCCCGCACCGAGGTCACCCGCGCGGCCGAGGTGATCGATCTTTCGGCCGACGAAGCGAAGCGGCTCGGCGGTGAGGTGCTTCCGCTGGACGGTGCCCCCGGCGGAGCGGGCCGGCTGGGGTTCACGCTGCGTGTGCCGTGCGGGGTGGTGTTGGCCATCACGCCGTTTAACTTTCCGCTGAACCTGGTGTGCCACAAGGTTGGCCCTGCCCTGGCTGGTGGGAATGCGGTGGTGATCAAGCCGGCAACAGATACGCCGCTCTCGGCGCTGAAGTTTGTCGAGATCTTGCTCGAGTGCGGATTCCCCCCGCTGGCCGTTTCGTGTCTGACCGGCGCGGGGTCGAAGGTGGGCGACCCACTGGCGGCCGACCCGCGGGTGCGAAAGATCAGCTTCACGGGGAGCCGCGATGTGGGCGAACACATTTGCAAAGTGGCCGGGTTGAAGAAAGTGACCATGGAACTCGGCAGCAACAGCCCCTTGATTGTGATGGACGATGCCGATCTCGAACGCGTGGCCGAAGCGACCGTAGCGACAGGGTTTGCCAACGCGGGACAGGTTTGCATTTCGACCCAACGCGTGATTGCCGTGAAAAAGGTCTACGGCGATCTGCTCGATGTGCTCGCCCCGAAAGTGGCCGCGCTGACCACGGGCGACCAGTTGAAAGACGGCACGAAGGTCGGCCCGATGGTTCGCACGGCCGATGCGGAACGCGTGAGCGAATGGATCGACGAGGCCGTGGCCGGCGGCGCCCGCGTGGTGACCGGCGGCGAGCGCGACGGGGCCTGCATCACGCCGATGGTGGTGGCCGATGTGAAGGCCGACATGCGGATCAGCTACGACGAGATCTTCGGTCCCGCGGTGGCAGCTATTTCGGCCTCAAACATCGACGAGGCGATCGCCCTGGCCAACGACACCCGCTACGGTCTCTCGGCCGGCGTGTTCACGAGCGATTTGAACAACGCGGTCCGTTTCGCCCGCGAGATCGAATCCGGCAACATCCACATCAACTGGGGCCCCCAATGGCGAGCCGACCTAATGCCCTACGGCGGCCTGAAGGAAAGCGGGATGGGGAAAGAGGGTCCGAAGTATGTGATCGACGAGATGACCGAGATGAAGACGGTGGTGATTCACGAGGGGTGAGGGGGGAATGATTGTGACGCGATCGCACCTGGGAGCAGCACTACTCTGTATCGGCCTGACACTTTGCATCTTAGTGATGCAAGTCAGAGAAGCATCGGCGGAAGATGCATCTTCGAATGCTGAGCATCGCCCAAACATCCTCTGGATTGTCGGGGAGAACCTGTGCCTCGACTTGGGCTGCTATGGGGCAGAACATGTCGTTACGCCGAACCTCGATGGCCTGGCAGCTAATGGGGTGCGGTACGTGAACGTGTTTTCGACCTCGCCGGTGTGCGCACCGAGTCGGTCGGCGTTGATGACCGGGATGTATCAGACCACCACGGGTACGCACCCCATGCGATCACATCGCGATGATGACTTCCGCTTACCTTCGGGGGTTCGCCCGCTCACACATTGGCTGGCCGACGAGGGTTATACCACTGGCAACGTGACGCACATTGGCGACCGCCGCGTCGGCACCGGGAAGCTCGACCTGAACTTTGTGAACGAGGGCGACATCTATCAGACCAACGATTGGTCGGCCCTGACTTCCAGCGAACCGTTCTTCGCTCAGATCAATCTGCCGGAGGTTGAATACGATATCTACGATCGAAAGTCGGCTGAAAAGCCGCGAGTGAAATGGGTCGGGGAAGAGTGGCATCCGCAGGTAGTAAAACCTGCGGATGTGGAACCTCCGCCCTACTATCCCGAACATCGCATAGTGCGGGAGGAATGGGCGCGATACTTGAACTCGGTCTCTGGGATGGACGTGCGCGTTGGCTGGATTCTGGAAGCTCTCGAGAAGCAAGGGTTGACCGATAATACGATCGTTGTCTTCTTTGCCGACAACGGAAGGTTAGAGGCCCGGGGAATTCACTGGTGTTGGGATAGCGGCCTGCATGTTCCAATGATTGTGCGGTGGCCAAAGAACTTTCCACCGCCGGAACACTACGAGGTCAACAGCGTTGACCGGCGGATGATCAGTTTGTTGGATCTCACGGCCACCACGCTCTGGATGGCCGGCATCGAGCGACCGCCGTTGATGCAAAGCCGCCGCTTCCTGGGTGAAAACCTGGAAGCTGAACGCCAGTTTGTGTTCAGCGCACGAGATCGGATCGATGAGACGGTTGTGCGTCAGCGTTCCGTGCGAGATGAGCGGTACCATTACATCCGCACTCATACGCCAGGCGTCGGGTTCGCCACTCTGAACCGCTACAAGGAAAAATGTTTTCTTGTGAAGCCACTGATGCGTGAGATGTTGGCTGCCGGAACTCTGACCGGTCCGGCAGCGGAGTTGATGCAACCATTGCCGGAGGAATTGCTCTACGACACGCGAAGTGATCCACATGAGATTCACAACCTGGCAGAATCGACCAAGGTGGTTCATCAAGAAGCGTTAATTCGTCTCAGAGCTGCGCTTGATACTTGGATCGTAGAAACCGGCGATCAAGGGCAGTGGCCAGAACCGGCGGAGATCGTGGCCCCTTTCGAGCAGGAGATGCACGATTGGTTCGGTACGCCCGAGTGGTATCGGGATGAGTGAGTGGACATTGGTCTCTTGCGAGGGGCGCACACTTCTCCATTCACAATTGCCCGAATCGGAAGCGCGAAAGAGGTCTCGGCCAGAACTGACGAGTGATGATTGTGGGGTTTCTTCCGATTAAGTGGTGCAAATGTCGCCTGCTGTGAGCTATGTTTTTCCATTAGCGTTCGGGACGACAAAACGTTCAGGCGGGGCTGAGAATGTTTTGCGTCGCGTGCCGGTGCTACAGAGAACACAACCACCCATTCAGCTCATTTTTTCGTGAGGAGTCTTTGCCATGAAGCGATTTGGATTGTTTGCCCTGCTGTTGGCCTTTGGTGTTGGTGTGATTGGCTGCTCGGAAGCCACTCAGAATGAAGCCAGCGAAGCGGTCCAACAGACCGGTGAAGCCATCGAGAGCGCCGCTGACGATGCGGCCAACGTGACCGAAGGTGCCATCGAAGGTGTGAAAGACGCCGTCGATGAGAACACCGACGAACCGGAAGCTGACAAAGCCGAATAGGTTCGCGTGAGTTAAGCAAGCGTGGGTCTGCCGAGTGTGGTGGGCCCACGCTTTTTTTGTTGGGGGATGGTGCGTTCGACCTGAACGCGGTTGCCGATGGGAGAGTGCGGGGACGTGTGTGTCGTGGAGTCAGCACTGCTGGACGAGCCAGCAGTGGCACCCAAGTGAAGTTCTGATTGGGCTTCTAGCTCGAGTGCACGATTAGCACGGGGTTGGGCGAGCGGCGGATATGGTTGCTGATGTGGCCTTGCGAGGCGTTGTCACCGCGTTCGTGGGCGAGGACCAATAGCGGCGGGGTCTTCGCCGGGTTCTGCACTTCCAGCGGTTGGGTCTCCCCTTCCCTTCTTACGTTCAGCGTGTAGCGGAACCCCTGGGCTTTGGCGGCGCGTTGCAGCGCCACGTGCAGGCGGGCATGCGTCTGCGTGAGGGCGTTTTCCAGCGACTCGATGCTGATCTCGACATCGGGCTTGATCGAGTGCATGGCCTCGCGGACGTTTTCGTAGAACTCTTCTTCGACGATGAGCACCAGTTCCAACTCGCCCTGGGGATGCAGCAGGCCCACGGCCCAACGGGCGGTGAGCAGGGCCGCTTCGTTCTCGCTGAAGAGAACCATTCGCAGCCGGCTGAACACGTCGCCCTGGGGGTCGAAGGGGGCCCGCGTGGCAATGACCGGCACCGGCGAGCGGGCCAGGAGAACGTCGATCACGGTTCCCGTGCTGTCGGCACCGATCGATTCGAACGGACGCCCGAAGGGGCACGGCACCACCAATAGATCGGCCTGCCAGGAATCGATGGCCGCGAGGATCATGTCCTGCACTTCGGCGTCGTCGACCGCGACTTTTTCTGCGTTGAGTTGTTGCGACCAATCGGTGGTGGAATCGGTTTCAAATGCCGGATCGCCCCGCCGACCATCGATCACGGCCACTTCGCAATTCAAACGGGCTTGGAGCTTGGCGACGATGCCCACGCCGAGTTCGTCTTGGGCCGAACCATCGAGCGCCAGCAACACCCGCTTTGGCTTGCGGGGATCGAGCGCGGGAACCTCGCCGACCTGCGCGCGCTTGAACATGGCCATCGACTGTTCGATGTTCCGATCGACTTCGCGTTGCGTGGGTTCGTACATGGTTTCTTGAAGGTTCTAAGAGCCGCTAGCGAGCAGTTGTCTTGCTCGCTTCTGTTACGAAGGTAGAGGCGGGATCCAGTTCAGGTTGTGTAGCACGAGCAGATAAACGATGGCCCCCACGATTTGCAGCACCATGATGGTACCGCCCAGCTTGATAAACTCACCCCAACCGACGTTCTGGTGGACTTCTTTCTTGAGCGTGTAGAGTGCGATGACGCAGGAGATCGAACCGATGGGCGTGCCGTTGCCGCCGAGGTTGCAGCCGAGCACTACCGACCACCATAAAGGCTCGACCGGCGCGGGGCCAGCACCGATTTGGCTGACCACCGGGATGAGCGTGGCCGCCACGGGGATGTTGTCGACAATGGCCGAAGCGACGGCCGAGAAAACCGTGAGCAGCGGCACCAGGGCCATCATTTCGCCCTGCGAGAGTGCGACCACCTGTTCGGCCAGCCAAGCTAGCGCGCCTGTGTGTTTCACGCAGCCGATGATGACGAACAGCCCTAGGAAGAACAGGATCACGGTCCAGTTCACCTTGGCGATTGAGTCTTCGACGTTGCGCCCGGCGAAGATCAACGCCGCGGTTCCACCTGACATGGCGATGAAATCCATCCCCACGCCTAACGGTTGAGCCAAGGCAAAGCCGATCACGGTGGCGATCAAGATGGCGGCGCTGCGAAACAGTCGAAAGCGATCTTCCACCAGTGCCCAGGGGTCGAACTGGTTGATGCGTTGGGCGAGGGCCTCCTTCTCTTCCGCACTTTGTTTCCAAGGAAGATCGCCACGGTAGGCGATGCGGAGGATGACTAACGCGATTAGGAAACTAACCACCGCGTACGGAGCGGAGATCATGAGGAACTGCACATAGGGGATGCCGGCCTGGGTACCGATCATGATGTTCGGCAGCCCGCTGGCGAAGGTGACAATCGCCCCACTGTTGGCGCAAATGGCCACCGAAATCAGAAACGGTTTGGGTTGATAGTCGAGCGCCCGACAGATGACCAGCACCAACGAACTGAGGATGAGCATGGCGGGTACGATCGTGAGCACGGCGACGAAGACGAACGTGAGTCCACAGATTGCAAAGTAAAGCGCGGCCGCGCGTCCGCCGGTGGCTTTCACCATGAGCATGCTGAGGAAGTGGAACAGCCCGCTGCGGCTGGTGACATCGACGAGGATGCCGGTGCCGATGATCACCCCGAAGATGTTCAGGTCGTGCGAGAGGATCTCGTAGATTTCGTCGTAATCGGAGATGACACCCAGGGCCAACGCCAGAATCGATAGCACGGCTGCCCCGGCCAAGGCGGCCACGGTTTTGTGGAAGCTTTCGACAGCGACACCGACATAGGTGAGCAGCATGCCGAGGCCAAACAGGGCCATCACCCAGCCCGGCGAGGGTTCGATTGCTTCTCCGGCGGCGAAAATGGCATAGTTCATGCAACTAGCTTGTGGCGAGTCCTACGGAGCGGTGTTTGATTCCCGATTCACCGCCGGTTGTACCATGTTCGGTCTGAAAGATCAGGGGCAGCACGGTACGTGTGTGACAACAGACTCGTGATCGGGAGCGTGCGATTGATTGGTCAGCGACCACGCTGCAGCCAGAGCACTCAACGTGCGCGCTGCATCCCTTCGTGCTCATGTTTGTTAGATTAACTTCGTTGAACGCTGCTTTGCTATGAACTCGCGACAAAGACACTTGCCGATGAATTGGCCAACGCTGTGGACCCTGTTGAAGCAGACCTCGATCGAGTGGTGGGAGGACAACACGTTTCGCATGGCGGCGGCGATCGCGTTCTATACGATCTTCTCGCTGACCCCCGTGTTAATTGTGGCCGTCGCTCTAGGCGGGTTGTTGCTGGACGACGCAGATTACAGTGTTCGGGCCGACTTGGCCGAGGAACTCGGCACACTTGTGGGGCCGGAAGGTGGTAAGGCCATCGAACAGGTGCTCGCATCGGCCAGCACTTCGCCTCATACCCCACAGGCAATCTTCATTAGCGCGATGACGATTCTCATCGGGTCGACGATGGTCTTCATCGAACTGCAGGCCGCACTGAATGAAATCTGGGGGGTGGAACTGAAGCCGCACACAAGCATGATTCGTCAGTTGATCATGGCCCGTGTGCGCTCGTTCGGCATTGCGATGATGGTGGGGCTACTGCTGGTGGTCTCGTTGGTGTTGAGTACGGCGCTACGAATCTTCCAGAATTATTTGGACGAATGGTTGCCCTCGGGTGTGAGTGTGTGGGGGGCGTTGAACTCCGCGGTGTGGATTCTTCTCGTCGCCGTGCTGTTTGCGATGATCTATAAGTTCCTGCCCGATGTGGAGATCCATTGGAAGGACGTCGCGGTGGGGGCGGTGGTCACTTCGCTGCTGTTCAGCTTGGGCAAGTACGTGATCGGCGTGTATCTGGGCCATGCCTCGTACGGCAGTTCTTACGGAGCCGCGGGCTCGTTCGTGGTGTTCCTGGTGTGGGTCTATTATTCGGCACTCATCTGTCTTTTCGGTGCTGAGTTCACGCATGTCTATGCGCGAATGATCGGCGATCGCTTGCATTCGAAAGAATTCGCCGAGCCGACACACGATGAAAAGGGCCAGGAGCTTGTCGACTAACGAGTTGTGCGAGAACGATTGGCTCGTTTTCGCATTTGCCAGGGTGGCTCGAAGACGAGATAGGCGATGACGGATAGCGTTGCCGCGGAAAGAGCGACCGGGGCCTGCCAGGCGGAGTTGGCCGTGAGCGGTTGTAGGAACACATCCCAACCGGCCACAAAGTGAACGAGCCAGATGCCTGACCCCACGAGCATGCTTGCCATGGCGGGGAGCCCGGAGCGGGGCTGCGTGTACAGGGCGAGGAGCATGGGGGCGAGCAAGCCAACCAGAGTCAGCGCGTAAGCGGCTTCCAACAAGCTGTACGCACTTTCGCCGAAGTAGGCCAACGCCAAAGAACAAGCGGCCACCAGCAACACGGCCATGCGATTCAAACGCAACAAGCCCATGCTGCTGTACCTGGAGAACACATTTTGAGCCAACACGCTGGCCGGCGAGAGAATCGCGCTGTCGATAGTTGAGAGCACTGCCGAAACAATCGTGACGGTAAACACCACGGCCATTGTGGGGCTGAGCACCGCATGTGACAGGGCGGGCACAACGCTGAGCTTACTGTCGGCCGGGAGTAATAACGTTGAGGCCAACCCCATGCCGACCGGAATCAGGCCGAACGTCAGGTAGGCCACACCGGCGATATGGCAGGCCTGGCGGGCGACTTTCTCCGAACGCGCGGCGAACACTCGTTGCATGAGATCTTGGCCCGGCAAGTTGCCCAACGCGCCGACGGCGAGTACGCCGATCCAACCCCAGAACGCGATCGCGCTGTCCAGCGGAACGATCGTTCTCATCTTCTCGGGTGTTTCGGTTGTTAATCGTTCCCAACCGGCGGTCGCGGTACCGTCGCCCAAGTCGAACAGGACGACACAGCCGAGCACGATCAGCCCGATGAGAACCAGTGTGACTTGAACCGCGTCGGTGAGTGTGACGGACCACATGCCGCCCATCAGGGTGTAGCCGGTGCCGACGAGGGCGACCAGCAGAATTCCAAGTTGCGGATCGATACCGAAGAACATTTCCAGGATGCCAGCGAGGGCGACAAACTGAGCCGCAATCCAACCGAAATAACTGGGCACCATGATGATCGCACTTGTGAGTTCGGCGGTGGGCCCGAAGCGGCGGCGAAACAAGTCGCAGACGGTCAGCAGACCTTCTCTCCACATCGGCCCGGCCACAAACCAGCCGGCCAGCAACAGGCACAACCCTGCTCCTAGTGGATCGAGAGCCGCTGCCTGTAGTCCGGATTCGCGAACCTCGTCGGCCGCGGCGATCATGGTTCCGGCCCCGAACCAGGTGGCCAGCAGCGTCATCCAGGCCAGCGATAACGGAAGCCGACGACCAGCTACGAGGAAGTCTTCTTCGTTATGAACGCGGCGCTGAGCCTCAAACCCCAGCCCATACATGAACAGCACGTAAACGACGATCGTCCCCCCCAGAATCCATTGCAATTCGGGGGTGATGTTCATGGGACGGATCTCGACGTGAACCGCGGCCTGCAGAGGTTGCGGCGGTTCGAATTGCCGGGGACGAAGCGACTACGAGATCATGCGGAAAGAACTGACGGGCGCCAAGTCACACACCGCGATGGTTCAGAATCTTGGTTCACTGCGGGACGAGCCAGCTGTGGCACCCAGAAGGGAGTATCCAATTCCTCTTGGCGCGCTACCGGATTTCGACCCATTCGAGGATTCTGACGCCGGGAGGATCGCCGCCGCCGTGGATTCTGCGGATTTCGTCTCCGCAGAGGGCCCGATTGTAGATGCGGAAGTCGTCCATCAGGCCGTCCCAGGTTCTGCTCTTCGCCCCGATGCCGAGTCGGAGGAGGCCAACGTTGTCGATGGTGCCTTTGAGCGCCCTCGATTGAGCCGCGAGCTTGTCGAGTTCACCGTCGATGTATAGCAGCAGGCTCTCGCCCGACTTCCACACCAAGGCGAGGTGTTGCCACTGCGAGGTTTGGACGTTGTCCGACGACTCGATGCTCACGTTGCCTTCACTGGTGGAGATGCTGGCTTTGATAATGCGTTCGCCCCCGGCCGTGAAGCCGTCTTTGTCGTAACGCATACCGAGCCGATCGTCGCTGCCGCCAGGTGTTGTTGTGAAGAAGATACCGCGATCTTCGTCGACCTTGTCCGACTTGATCCACATCATCACGGTAACGGCTTCCAGGCCGTTGAGCTGATCGCCGATCGTCGGGTGATCGATGCGTGAGGAACTTCCGTCGAATTCGTAAGCCCCGTCGACTTGGCCGTCGGCGAACTTCACCCCGCTGGCCGTTCCATCGAGCCCCCTGCCGCTGGAGTCGGCGGCGGTGAGCCCTTCGGTTTCGTCGAGCTTCCAATGCAGGATCAGCCCATAGAGATCGGCAATTTCGCTGCTGGTGAGTTGATAGCTATACAGCCGGAAGTCGTCGATCACACCTTCAAGGTATCGCTCGCTGGAGATGTTCTCGGCGCGCTTTCCACCCATGTTGAAGTCAGCCGAATAGCTCATGTCGTTGTAAGGGGATTGGCCGCGCGTGCCGCCGGTGTCGTTGACTCCGTTGACATAGACCTTACTGCTCTTGGCGTCGGAGGCGCTGAGAGCGACGGCGAAGTGATACCACTCGTCGGCTTGCCATTGAGTTGTTTTCGTCCAGGTGAAGCGGAATGCACGGTCTCCCGCATTGATTCTGAAAACGAGGGCCCCCGGTGGGATATCTTTTTCGTTATAGTCGGTTCCGGCCAGGGCGATATGCATATTGTGGGCGTCGGATTGATACTTTTCGCAAACGATCTGCGTGGCGCGACTCTCGGCGGTGAATTCGTCTTTCAACTTGAACCAGCCGGCGATGGTGGCATCGCCAACGAAGTCCAAACTCTCGTCGGCCGGAACATTGACGTAGCCCAGGCCGTCGGCCAGATTTAGCAGCCCGTCGTTGTTACAGCGGGCGAGCCAGTCGTAGTAGCCGTAGATCGATCCGTGGTTGGTGCCCACCAAGTCGGTGGCCACCGAACCCAACAGGTCGTCGAATGTCCAATGCGCAATCAGCTCGTCGGTGCTGAGTGTCTCCTGGTAAATGGTGCTGATTTCGACAGCGGTAAGTGGTCGATCGAAGAGGCGCACGTCGGCGATGCGACCATCGAAATAGACGTCGGAGCCAGCCTTGTTCACTCCAACGAATAGATCGTCGCCATTGACCGTCGGTGACAGTGATGCGGAGTATTGCACATCGCGCTGTCCGTCGACGTACATGGTGACCCCGCTTCTGTTGTACGTAACGGCCACATGATGCCAGTTGCCGACGGAGATCGTTCGAGAACCGTTGTAGTACGAACCGGCGGCGAACTTAACCCGGCCGTTGCTCATGATCATCAGCGAATAGTTGGCCGCACCTGGCCAGGCAAGACTGTCGCCACCTTTGACCAACACTCCGGCATAGTCGGAATGTTTGTCGGCGTTGACCCAGGCCATCAACGTGATTCCACGAGAGGACCAGTTCAATTGATCTGAGTGTGGCACGACAACGTAGTCGTCGATTCCATCGAAGTCGGGGGCGTAGTCCCCTGCCTTTTCACGCACCCCGGGCTGACCCAAGCGGACACCGTTGGTGTAGGTGCCGTTGGTTCCATAGTCGCCTTCATCAACCGCCCGCTCGCCAGACGTTTCGTTCAGCGGCAAGTGCAACAGCACGTCGGCCCATGCGGGGGTTGCATGGGAGAGTGCGATCAGAGCGATCGTGGGCAGCGTCGATCGTAAGTGCAAAATGCGCATGGGAAAGCTCAAAGAGGCAATCGTTGCCGGTGGGGTGAGTGCATGTCTACCGAAGGAGCAGTCACGCAACTCACTGGCGTGGAACCGTTTTAAGCTTACGGTGGAGCGGGCGCGGGTGCCGGATTGCTCCTGGGCATTCGTTCCGTCAACGCACAGAAACGCCTTATGGATATACCGGCTGTTTCGACTGTAGCGATCTCTGGCAGAGGCTCGTTCGGAACGGTCGCCAGCGAGTGGTTTCGAAATATCGTTTCAGATCATGATTGATCACCTATTTTTTACATTTCAGGCGTTTCAATCTCGTATGATGACCGGTGTTCGGCCCGCTCGTCTCGGAGATTCAAGAAGAACAGAAAGCCCAAAAGGCAAGTGCCATGACAACACCGTTCACACTCCGCTTGGAAGAAATGGACGTCAGCAAGGCCGCGATCGGGGGAGGCAAAGGAGCCTCGCTGGGTGAACTGGTGAAGGCCGGCGCGCGTGTGCCTGCCGGCTTTGTGGTTACCCGCGGGGCGTTCGACCTCTACATGGAGGCGGCCGACCCTCAGAAGCGAATCTCGCAGTGGCTGGCCGAACTCCACTCTGGTGGCAAGACGCTTGCCGATACGGCGCGGGCGATTGCCGAACTGCTTGCGGAAGGCACTATTCCTAACGAAATCGGTGACGCGATCGGCTCGGGAGTTGAACAACTCGGCGTTGCGAGCATGTCGGTGCGCTCCAGCGCAACTTGCGAGGACGGAAGCGCCACGGCTTGGGCAGGGCAACTTGAAACGTACTTGGACGTATCCCCCGAGGAGATCGAAGAGCAGGTCCAGGCGTGTTGGCATTCGATCTTTCGCGCGCCGGCGTTGGCTTACGGCGCAGCCCATGGTTACGGTGTGGGCGAGTTCGGGGTGGCGGTCGTGGTGCAGGAGATGGTCTCGAGCGAGGTCTCGGGAATCGGCTTTTCAGTGCACCCCGTTACGCAAGAGCCCGAGTTGCGTCTGATCGAAGCCTGCTTCGGGTTGGGCGAGGCAATCGTCTCCGGGCGGATCATGCCCGACCAGTATGTGGTGAAGCGTGGGGCGCGGGAGATTGTCGAAAACACCCTGGGGCGGCAACGCGAGGGGTTGTTCTTCGAACATGGGCGTTACGAACCCCACTGGCAACAATTGGGCGAACGTGGCTCGCAGCCGAAGCTGAATGAGGACCAAGTGCTGGAATACGCGGGCATTTTGGACCGCATCGAAGATCATTACGGCTTCCCGGTCGACACCGAATGGGCGTTGACCAAAGAGGGCTTTCATCTGTTGCAGTCGCGTCCCATCACCACGCTGGCCAAGGAATATCGCGAGCCGATTATCGATACCGCGCAACCGTGGGTGAAGTTGGTGCGGCGGCCGTTGTCGCTGCTGGAAACTTCGTTCATCGGGCTGTGGCTCGATAGCCGCCACGCAGGCGAAGACATGGGCACGCACGTCGATCGGTTCATGGCCATCCAGGACGATTCGGATCTGGCGACGATGTTCCTGCCCAAGCCTGCGTTCGATGCGGTGTTGGATCACATTCGAGATCTCGATCGAAATAACCGTCCCAAACTCATCGGCCTGTTAGAAAAGGCACTCGAGGTCTTCGAAGAGGGTCGGCAGCGAATCGAGCGGAACGAAGTCTTCACGAGTTTGGAAGACGCCGTCGAACACTTTGTCGATGTGGGACGATACACCACAAGCTTCCCTTCTTGCACACTCATTGCGCTTGAAGATGGGCATATCGACGATCCGCAAGTCCGCGCCCTGAGCGAACAACTGCGTGCTCACTCACTTTATCCTCGCTACTTGAGTCAACTGGTCGAGCCACTGGTGATCGAGCAGGTGAAGGCACTCGGTTTTTCAGCGCCCGAACGTGGCCCCGAATTGGTGACATGGAGCGAGTTGCGCGAGAACCTCATCGACCGTGAGACATTGGAAGAGCGACTGAACCTGGTCCGCGAAGGCTACCGGTTCGTTATTCAGATTTTGGAAGATGGCGAACGGGTGAACTTCGTCAGCGAGACGGGCTATCTACTGATGCGTCAGATAGGCCAGCGTCAGATCATTCCTCCAGACGATCCCGATCGTATCGCCGGGCAAGCTGCATGGCCCGGCGTGTATCGCGGTCGGGCCCGCGTGCTGATGACGTCGGATCCAGACGGGGTCGAGATGCAAGAAGGGGAAGTGCTGGTCTCGCTGCAGTCGAACCCCAACCTGATGCCCCTATTGCGGCTCGCCGGGGCGATTGTGACGGACGACGGTGGTGTGGCCTGCCACGCGGGGATCATCTGCCGGGAGTTGAAGATTCCCACCATCATCGGCACCGGTCGGGCTACGGCCACGATCAACACCGGCGACTTGATCGAAGTCGATGCTACCGAGCAAGTGGTGCGCATTCTGGAACGGGCATAGTTTCTTCGCCCGGGCTGACGGTTTGGAAAGTTAAAATCGCAATAATTCCTACGGCTGGACGAATAAAAAAACCTCGGGTGGACGTACACGGTCTATATTTGCGAAGATAATCGCGTCCAGGACTTCAATTCTCAAGGGGAACCGTGGCCATGTTCGAACGTATTTCCAACGGCTGGGAACTTGCGAAGCAAAGCTTCAACGTTCTGCGAATGGATAAAGAACTGCTGGTGTTCCCCCTGCTCAGTGGAATCGCGTGCCTGGCCGTGCTGGCCAGTTTTGCCGTGCCGCTGTGGTTCTCCGGCTTCATCGAGACGGTGGCCCAAGACGAGCAAGCCCAGAACAATCCGCTGGCCTACGTCGTGCTGTTCGCCTTTTACACGGTGAATTACTTCGTGATCGTGTTCTTCAACTCGGCCCTGGTCGCCTGTGCGGTCATTCGCTTTAAAGGCGGCGACCCCACGCTAAAAGACGGGCTGGGGGCTGCTATGGGGCGGTTGCCGCAGATCTTCGGTTGGGCCCTGGTGGCTGCCACCGTGGGTGTGATTCTGCAGATCATCGAATCGCGATCCGAGAAGTTCGGTCAAATCATCGCTTCGCTGTTGGGGATGGGCTGGTCGATCATCACGTTCTTTGTCGTACCGGTGATCGTGGTCGAAAAGGCGGGCCCGATTGCCGCCGTTCAACGCTCGATGGCCATTTTGAAGAAGGCCTGGGGCGAATCGCTGACGGCCAACTTCGGCATCGGCATGATTGCCTTTCTGCTGAACATCCCGGCCATTCTCGTGATCGTCGCCGGCGTGGCTGTGGCCGCCTCGGTGAACGCCGTTCTCGGTGTGGCGATCATTGCAGTGGGTATTCTGGCGATGCTGACCATCTCGCTGGTCACTTCAGCCCTGAACGCCATTGTGCTGGCCGCACTGTACCTCTACGGTGCCACCAACCAAGTGCCCGCCGCCTTCGAACCCGCTATGCTCACCGGAGCTTTTGGTCGGAAGTAAGCAGGTTTCCTGACTGCGGTCTAGTTGACATCGGGCAACTTCGCGAGTGCTGACTGCAGCGTTTGCTTCGTGCGCTGCTGCTCTTCCGAAAGTTGATCGTCGAGCAACGGGTGTTTCTCTTCCGGATCGGCCTGCATGTCGAAGAACTTTCCGGAAGAGTAGAGCTTGTAGCGTTGTGTGCGTACGAATCGCAGGGAATTGTGCTCGGAGTAAGCCCAGGTGCGTGACGTTGGCCCCTGCTTCAGCAAGACTTCGGCGAAGCTGTGGCCGTTGAGATCGCTGCGGTTCGGTACGGTTATTCCCGCTAGCTGAGCCATGGTCGGCAGGAAGTCGCTGAAGTCGACGAGTGCCTCGGACGTTGTGTCGGGTTCGATATGCTCGGGCCAGTTGGCAATCAAGGGCACCCGGGTTCCCCAGTCGGTGAGTTGTCCTTTGCCTCCTTGCACGCGGCGGCCGTTGATGGTTGAAAACACCTTGGGACGGACAAACTTGTCGTCTTCATATCGCAGGAACGAAGCCGAGGGGGTTCCGTTGTCGCCGGTGAATAGGATGAGCGTGTTCTCGCGGAGCTGCAGCTTGTCGAGCGCGATCACCAGTCGACCGATCTGATGGTCCATCTCGGCCACCATCTCCGCATAGTTCAGCCAGCGGCCATTCGGCCCATACGGAACCGGTTTGCCGATATCGTTCGTTACATCGTGGCACAGTGCCATCGAGTAGTAGGCCAGGAACGGTTGATCCTGGTTTTGCTTGATGAAGTCGATGAGAAAATCCACGTACAGGTCGGGACCGAATTTTCCGGCGGTGTTGGTGCGAAGAGTTCCGTTCTCATAAATCAGCGGGTCGTGGTAGCGAGGGCCTTCGTGCCATCCGAACAGGCACCACTCGTCGAAGCCCATCCGCGCTGGTTGGTCGGGGTCTTCTCTCAGCAACTCGAGTTGCCATTTGCCCGCAATGGCCGTCGCGTAGCCGGCCCGCTTCAGCATGGCGGCAAACGTCCGGCTCTCTTCATCACGCGGGAACATTCCCCACTGTGGGTTTCCCAACGTGGCTGGATACTTGCCGGTGAGCAGGCAGATGCGTGAGGGATGACATACCGGCATGCTGTAACAATGCTCGAACCGCATACCGCCGCGGGCCAGCGCATCGATGTTCGGCGTCTCGTACGATTCGCCCCCATAGCAGCCGAGCACCTCACGGCCCACATCGTCGGCAAGGATGAACACGATGTTCGGCGGGCGATCGTTTGCCGCGGCAATCGACGGTAGGGCCAGGCATAGGAACAAGAGAACTCGAAATGCCATTGTGACTCAGCTCGCTTAGATGAGGTTCTGTTTAAAAGTTCGCGAGTTCCGGTTGTAACGATTCTTGCGTGCCACCAAGACTTGGGGCTTCGCTCTTCCTGCAACCCCGCTCAACGTAGGTGTTATTCGTAACTTGGTTCGCCAATTGCCGATTCGAATTGGGTCCACTCCGCAAGGGTGCGAACCCCACTGTCATCAATCGTGATTGAGTTTTCAAGTCAGGCAGAGTTTGCGCCGATGGTAGTTTGTACCGGTCACGGATGCTGGGATATGTGCTTTACCGGCGCATGCTGTTTCGAAGGATTGAGCGGATGTTTGCTGTGTTCGAAACAGATGCGAGGACTTTGTGCCCAATCCTATCCCGCCCTATTTGCGAATTCACCCTGAGAACCCACCGGCGGCCGAGAAGCCAGATGTCGAGGCGATTACTTCGCTGGAAAACGTCTGCCGTGCGTTTCAAGAAACAACCGGCTGGAATCTACGCTACGTAGACAAGCCGTATAACGGGTCCGATTTCGACTTGCTATGGTCCGCCCCGGTTAACCCGGGCGTCGGAGCTGCTCCCGGTCACCTGCGCATCGAAGTTGGACCGTCTGACCGAATGGATGGTCGTGGCGGCTTGGAACTCGAAGCGGCCAGCGAATTGGCCGAGGCCATCGCCTCGATGTTGAGCGACTTGGTTCGTGCCGAGCATGTGTTGTGGCAGCGCGAAGCCGAGCTGGCCGCCGGCGTGCCCGTGGTCGAACGCGAAGGCGGTCAACTTCAACTGGCCGCGCGAATCGAGTCCGCGCTCAAAGGCGGAGCCGAAGCCGTCGGCTGCGATGTGGCAGCGCTGTACTTGCTCGATACCGACACCACCGTGTTGAAGCTTCGCAGCAGTTATGGAATGCCGGTTCGCAAGTTAACCGACCCGCCCCGTTCACTGGAAACTTCGCTGGCCGACTTGGAAGCACTGTTGGGTCACGCCGTGGTGCTCGATAGTGGCGCGGCCGACCGTCCGTGGAATCCGCCTGAGGAATATCCGGCCGCAGTCTGTGTGCCGGTCTCTACGTCGACGGTTCCCTTGGGCACGCTGTGGATGTTCTCGAAAGAAGCCCGCGACTTCAACGACAACGATACAAACATTATCGAACTGGTTGCCGGTCGGATTGCCACCGATCTGGAACGCGAGATGTTGCTGCAAGATCAGCGCGATCGCGGAACCATCGAAGATCAGGTGCAAGCGGCCGCCGCCTGGCAGCGACGCCAAATGCCGGCGCGGGCCCCCATGCTCGACGGCTGGCAGATTGCGGCCTGGAACGGTCAGCACCTTCCGCCCAGTGGCGACTTCTACGATTGGTGGTTGCGTGGCGACGACACCGTTTCTGCCGTAGTGGGCGACGCGCTCAACGGCGGGCTGGAAGCCGCACTGCTGGCCGCGAACCTGAAGGGGTTATTCCGCGCGAGCGATCGAGATGACCTCGAGCCTGACGCGATCATGACCAGCGTTTCTGACTCAGTGTGGACTGCCTCGCAGGGCGATCAATACGCTTCGTGTGCGTTGGCCACCATCGAAGGCAGCTCGGGCCGCGTGCGTTTGGCGACCGCGGGCGATGTGACGGTGCTGCGGATTTCGGAAGACGGCTGGCAATCGCTCACGCAGCCCTCGCCCCAGGTTGGCACCGAGCCGGAAAGTAGCTTTGCCGGCCGCGAGTTCCATCTGCAGCCCGGCGAGCTGGTGGTGATCGCCACCGACGGGGTGATCGACGCCCGAAATTCGGCCGATTGCCGATGGGGTGAAAGCACCCTGGTCGAGACGCTGAAGCCGCACCGCGGGAAACCTGCGGAAAAGCTGATCGAGATCGTCCGCAACGAGCTGTCGGCCTACTGCGGTATCGAGCCTCGCGATGACCAGACGCTGCTGATTCTCAAGCGTGAGGGCTAGCAGATCGCTAGTCTGGGTTACCGGCAAGGCGGCATTTTCGAGACTTTCGTCCGCCGGACCCTCCAAAAGCGGCCTGACAATTGCTAAGATGAAAGTTCGTCGTCCATTCAAGCGGGAATGGCGGAATTGGCAGACGCGCTAGGTTGAGGGCCTAGTGGGATTATATCCCGTGGAGGTTCGAGTCCTCTTTCCCGCACTGCTTCAAAAACCCCGGCATTGCGTCCGGGGTTTTTTTATGGGGTCGATGTATCGGTATCGGTGGGGCTCAACTTCCGCAGCCGCCACCGCAACCGCCTCCGCATCCTCCGCCGCAACTTGATCCGCATCCGCTGCAGCCGAAGAAGCCGCCGCATCCTCCGCCGAGCCCCCCACTTCCTCCGCGGCGATTCTTGTTCACGGCTTTCTTGATCACGAACAGCACGATTAACACAAAGGCCATGATGAAGAAAAGGGTGGTGATGCTGCTCTTTTCGGCAAACAGAGTTGCCCCAGCGATCAGCGGTACCCCGGTCGCCGCGACCAGCGTTGCACTCGGTCTGGCCCAAGGCTTGGGGATGACCCAATTCCGCTGGGTGTTGATTCGCTGATAGTGAGCATCATCGCCGAAGCGAATCTCGGCCTCGGGCCAAATGTCGGCCGGGGGCTCGTGGCCGAAGAATCGGGCGTAGCTGATTTGCGTGGCCGTATACCACTGCTCGAACTTTTGCCCTTCTGCTTTGCCCCCTTTCGTCGGTCCATGATGGATCGGTTGCCCCAGCACATCGCCACACAGGCGGTCCCAATACGATCGCGTATAGGTGAGGTGCAGATGCCACACCTGATCGACTTGGTCCGACGGGGTCACCGGATGATCGGCGGCGACGGCCAAGAACAAGAACCGGCGATACTCTTCGATCGCCCGATCGGTGTACGCGGGACTCCAATCATTCTCCCGCGCCAGCCGGGCGGCGAAGGTCAGCTTCTCGTCCCCTTCGTCGAACGAAAAGATGGCCAGCCGCTGATAGAGATCCCGCTGCGCGTCGCTCATCGCGAAGGTCGTCATGGCAACCCCTTTTTCACATGCACGAACCATCGACAGACGAATGCTGTCGCGTGCACGGCAGTTTACCAGCCGGCGCGACAAGGACGAAGAGCGATGTGGATGGTGTCGCAATGTCCGCTGAAATCAGCACATCGCACGAGTTCTCAGCAGAATTCTAAGAAGCGGTGGATGACCCGGCCCCGAGGTTTCGCTTGCGGAGGTACAACACGGGCGGACCGAAGACTGCTAGGAACACAGTCAGCCACGGAGCAGAAGCCACCGCGGCGACGGCGAGATCTTCAGCCAGCTCTCGTAGCGAGACGAGTGAGTTGTTCCAGGCGTCGTCGGTGCGCGCCAGAAAGCTTGGCGCCTCGGGTGGGACATAGTCGTGTACTTCACGCGCACGAATATCGACGGTGGTCAGCTCTGTGCGGTTGGCCAGGTACCGCAACCGGCCCTGCATCTGTTCGATGTCGCTTCTCACACGGGCCAATTCATTTTCGACTTTAATCACGTCGCTGATTTCACCCTCGGAATTCTCTAGCAATTCGAGAATGCGTTTCTCGAGCTGCTGCTTGCTTGCAATTCTGGCTTCGAGATCGACGTAATCTTCGGAGACGTCTTGAGCCGATTGGTTGATGCTCTTGGCCACTCCCAACTTTCCGACGGCTTCTAAGAACGAATCGTATTGCGGCACCGGAATGCGGGCCTGCCATCGTCCAGAGCGGTGTTCGCCGGAAGTGCGATCTAT